CACCCCGCGGTGCTGCCGGTGCCAGGGAGTGCCGCATCGCCCGCGTCCCCGAGGCGCTGCTAGGAGCCGGCTGCTCGCTCTCCTCTCTCGCTCGGTTTTATAGGAAAGGTAGAGACATTTTGCTGTTCTTCTCCACTCCTCTTCTCCACCCTCACCCCACCCGGCCTTTGCCAGGTACGTTCCCGGAGAGCTCCCCCAGGCCCCCGCGGCTAGTCCGTTGACATAAAGGGCCAGAGAAAGAGGCAGAAGTTGGGGGTGGGGTTGGAGGGAGCCCCCGCTGGGACCAACGCCACCCAAACCCTCCTGGTGCCTCATGAGATCACGGGTGTCTCCGAGGGGGGCGGAGGGACGGTGAGCTCTCTGCAGAGTCTCCACCTATTGGGATCGTAATCAATTAAAATAAAAATCCCACCAATATCTTTTTAAAAATAGATTCGTTGAAAAGCAGACAGGGAAATAAGCCCCTCTCCCCTCTCTCTTTCTCTCCTTTTCTTTCTGGGAAAGACGCTCTGCCCCCGCCTGGAGCTCCGCGCCGAAGAGCCAGCTCCTGATCCATCAGCCTCCCCATCGTCACCCCGCGGAGCCTCCCCGCAGGGGCCGCGGAGGCAGCGGGGCGCGGAGGCTGCGATGCGCGTGGGGGCCGCTTCTGTCACCTCTGGGGGGAGCAGAGGACAGGACCGAGATCGGCGCCGCCCAAGCCGGTGCGCTTAGGGGTGTTGTCTTCGATGAGAGAAAGGACTAGAAGAGGAGTGAGGTCCGCATCTCTCTAAAGGAAAGGGAAGAGGGGACCGAAGTGGAGGCGCTTTGATAGGCGAGCGGGGAGAGAAGTTTATATCCTTCATTGACAAGCGGCGGGAAGGCGGGAGCAACAGGGTCCTTGATTGGACACCCAGACAAATCATTTCCTGTGAAGAAGAGGAAGCAGGCGGCTTCGAGGTCTGGAGGCCAGAGTGTGGTGGAGGCCGGGGCCAGGTGAGCTGCCGGGGAGGCTCGGGACCAGCCAAACAATGACTCACTTACAAGCCGGGCTGTCCCCGGAGACCCTGGAGAAGGCGCGCCTGGAGCTCAATGAGAACCCGGACACCCTCCACCAGGACATCCAGGAGGTGAGGGACATGGTCATCACCAGGCCGGACATCGGCTTTCTGCGCACAGATGATGCCTTCATCCTACGCTTCTTGCGGGCCAGGAAGTTTCATCACTTCGAGGCCTTCCGCCTCCTGGCCCAGTACTTTGAGTACCGCCAGCAGAACCTGGACATGTTCAAAAGCTTCAAGGCCACGGACCCTGGCATCAAGCAGGCACTGAAGGATGGCTTCCCCGGGGGCCTGGCCAATCTGGACCACTATGGCAGGAAGATTCTAGTCCTTTTTGCTGCCAACTGGGATCAGAGCAGGTAAATCCTAAATCCCAACTCATATGAGGGACTCTTTTATTCTCCCATTTTCCAGAATTTACCCCGAGTAGCCATCACTTTACAGCTTTCATTTGGTTGGGAAAAAAGAGAAAATGGAACTCAAAAATGAGTTTTGGGTGGGCATCCTGGGGATGTGGGAGGGGCTTGTTGGAAACCTTTGCAACTCTTACTTCTCTAGCACCAGCTTCTGCTGCAGCTTAAAGTGCTTCCCGCACCCTATTCTCGTGCTGCAATCAGAATAATTGAACTTCTAAATAAATGTGCTAATTTTTTTCACCTCCTAAGTAAGTTCACTGTTCTCTGGAGAAATTGGTGTGAGGATAGAGACAACTTTTTCTCCTTCCTTCTAAATAAATTTTTCTTTCTAAATAAATTCTTAAACTAGACTCATCATCATCATTTTCATGATCACCATCTTCATTATCATCATCATCATCATCATCATCATCACATCATCATCTGTCTCTAGTACATTATCTTTTAAGGGTAGCCTGGCATTCAACCGAGATCAAGTAGTTTTATTGCTTGGGAACTTTTCTGCTTGGTGATGTGCAGATGAAGGAATAATATGATGTGTGTCACTTCAGTGAAAAGGCAGAGTTGTATGCTCTGGTGCTGAGCATGCCTACCGACGCTGAAATCAAGGCTGGCTGGTGTGCCGCTCCACACCTGTCACTCATCTAAAGAAGATGTTTCCTGTCTGATGTGATTTGTCATCTCTTGGAAGGAAGTGGAAAATGTTTAGATATGTCAGGTGGTAGACTTTTTGAGTTCTCTTGCTTTTCAATGGAGAAGAAAGATTTTTATTGTATCTACAGATGATAGAAAAAGGGAGAGAGTGACTCCTCTACTTTCTCAATCAGAACTATTTCCTCAGACTAACAGAGAGAAGAAATTATAAACACTCCTGTGTAAGGTAGTTTCAATGAAGTTCAAAGGTAAATGTATTTCATGGAACTTAAACATGTTATCAGAACCATGAATTATAAGAAGCTGGTTGTTAAAATATTGGTGTGGTTTTTAGTTCTGTGAATGGGGACTTTTGATGCATCAAGTTAGTTTCTGGTTCAATTGTCAAAGACTTTTTTTTTCAGTGGCTGGGATATCTTATAGATTTCTAGATAGGCCTTTCAGAGTCTTGGGATCTTAGAATGTAAATTAATACTTTTAACAGGTTTTTACCCATTAATTGGTTACCTTTTCTCTGTAATTCTAGGTTGAGAACTACTACAATCATTTTTTAGGCAAATATAAAGACAAACTACTACCTGAGGAATCTTAAAATCATAAAACTAAGAAACTAATAGAGTTAGCCATTGAGGGGGAATGGAGTCCTGTTACTTACTTTGGTTAGTTATAGAGGTCATATTTTACTTTTTATTGGTAGCAAAGTTTAAAGGACCATGAAATGCCATTCTTTGACCACAATTTTTCTTTAACATTTTAAAAAAATCTGACAAGTACATTGTAGGGTCATGCAAACCAGTGATTGTGTATATAGAAATGGAAAACTTTTGTTCAAGAAAGAACCTACTATTCCATTTGTCAATTAGATTAGAACTTTGTTTATTAAGCTACAGTTAAATGGGAGTTGTGGAAATTTTATATTTAAGTTTATATATATTTTATGTTTCAAAGTCTGAAAGATATTAGGCAGACCACATTTAGGGAGACATGCATTTCTTTCTTTCTTTCTTTTTTTTTTTTTCTTTCTTTCTTTCTTTCTCTCTTTCTTTCTTATTATTCAATGTATATTAATTTTTATTGACTTTATTGGGGTTACATTGGTAAATAAAACTATAAAGGTTTCAAGTGTACAACTCAATAAAACATCTGCATCCTGCATTATTCACTCATTGACCAAAGTAAAGTCTCTTTCCATCCCCATTTATCCTCCCCTTTGCCCACTTCCACCTTTTTTCACCCTGCCTCTTAATCCCCCTTCCCTCTGACAGCTGTCGGTCTGTTCTATGTATCTATCCTTCTGTTTCTATTTTGTTTATTAAATTATTTGTTCATTAGATTCCACAGATAAATGAGGTCATATGGTATCTGTCTTTCTCTGACTGGCTTATTTCACTTAGCATGAGCCATGCATTTACATTAGATCCATTTTAATTTATATCTATAAGTGAGCTAATATTCACACTGATTTATAAACCTAATTAAGATGAACATCACTTAACAGTTCTTATGTATATGGGAAGTTGATTATTCCAGATTACTAAAGAGACTATGTTTTTGTTGTCTATTTCATACTTTTCTATAAAGGATAGGTTATGAGCAATCAAAATCTATCTCCCTGGAAATCTACAATGGGAGAAGATTTGTTAATTGGTATATAAAACTATTTTTATTAAATCTACATAAAAACTTTAAATATTAAAAAATTTGTACATGTGAAATTAAAAGTGAGAAGCTGTGTCCTATGAAAATACCCTATCAGGTTCTAGACTAATAATTGTGAATTCTGTTTCTATGGATATACATGAGTAGACATAATCATGAAGTTATAGTACATCAAAGTCAAAAGGTATACAAATTATTTAGAGTTTCACTAAAATTCAGTTGAGTTTCCTCTTCCTACATTCTAAAAAAAGAGTTATTCCTCTCCTCTCCCTGCCTGCCCTCCTTCCCAAACCTACATATACCCAACAACAAGGACTGGCAGATAAACAGGTCCATTCTCTTGGCATCCTCTGTAAACCACTATCATTGGTACATGGGCATAACAACTGCCCAGAAACCTGCGGGGCAGCTGCGTTCCTGCCAGTACCAGCACAGCACCAGCCCTTCTCCTGCCTTGGGCCGGATCCCCCTTTCTTCTTCCATGCTGCGGCCTCAAGTCTTACCTGACTTGGCTCCTATGGGTATGTCTACCCCCTTCCCTAGATATTTTCCTCACTGTTGCTGTGTTAGGTGCATAGCCATGCCTGGTGTTCTCACCTTTCTGCTCTGATCCTGCAGCCCAAACAACTCAGGTCTCTGGAGAAGACTGACTGCTCATCTGAACACGATTCGGACCCCCTTCCTTGAGCTGATCAGTGATTTACCTGGCTTTCAACACCTTACACAGAAAGGAGCATTGTTTTAAAGAAACAATAGGTGGGAATGTCTACAGTTACAGAGGGAAATTCCAGAAGTCAGTTAGAAATTATGCCCCCCTTTTATTTGGAAAACAGGTTATTTCCAACTTCCCAAAGGGAAACAGAAGATTTTTAAAATAAGTTTTGAAGAGAAGATTTTTAAAATAAGTTTTGAAGAGCTTTGTAAAGACCTCTGAAATAATTAATCTGTATATAAAACAGACTAAGCCTCATGTTATTATTTTATAAGAGCACCTGAGCTAGAGTTAATGCTCAGTAAATATTTCTTTAGTTGAATTCGGTTATGCATTTAAAAAATAATCCTAAGTAGAAAGTTACCTAATACATACTTTCTCCTATATTAAATTTGTAGGACAGTTTCCTGTGCTTCCCAGGAGACTGGAAATAGTAAATAGGTGTGAGATGATGACTATAAATAAAACAGTGTCTCTTTCTACTGCAATATAATGCAGGTCAGTTTCAGCATATTGATTTGGACCACTTCCAAAGCCTTTACAAAAGACATGAAATTTTCAGGAAGACTGAGGTAAAATAATATTTACAGTGTACCCACCTTCTAATAAATCTTAAAAAAATGAAATACTGAAATGTCAAAGTGACTTTCAGTTTGATTTGTGGTTCTTTTGAAAAAGAACAGAACAGGCTTAGATGACTTATTACATTTATTGAGCAGGATGTCCTTGGGAAATATTTATAAAATGTAATCTCCTTTCTTTCAGATCATCTAACATAATTTCTGAAAGTGAGAGTAAATTTTACACATTTAAAAACAATTGGATTATTTTACTGCATCACTAAGATGCAGTAGCCCTCCATACATTACATTCTGTATGTCTTTCATGAGAGATATTGCCCTGCTTAGGACTCAACAGATCCTTCAAATTTCCACCTGATTTCAACAACAGAATGTGAGGATGATGTACCATAAAGCTAGAAGAGATTGCAAAGAATGCTAGAAAAGGAAGTTTGGAATAAAACTAGATCATGATCTACACTGTAGGACAGTGGTCAGCAAACTCATTAGTCAACAGAGCCAAATATCAACAGTAATTCTTCAAAATAGACTCGCCCAGGCCAAAAACCGACTTCTGCGTATGGGCCACGAAGTTTCAATCGCACTGTACGTGCTCGCCCGCACGTGGTATTTTGTGGAAGAGCCACACTCAAGGGGCCAAAGAGCCGCATGTGGCTCACGAGCCGCAGTTTGCTGACCACTGCTCTAGGACATGAGAGCAGGTATCTGAGTAGTCATATATACTTAGCGGGAATATTCATGAGTAAATTGTGTCACCTGAAATATAATGATGACACATATTCTGATAGTTGACCTGTAATTTTTGGCCTTCAAGTTGTACTTTACCTCATTACTTATAAAGTAGTTCTCTATACTTTAGTACAGCAAACAATAATTTATCTGGAATCTGATTAATAATGATAAGAAAACCATTAAGTACCGTTAAACGAAAATAATTCTTAACATAGTGGCAATTCAGAAAGCACTGACCGTCTTGCACTCTGTTTGGCTTGTCATAATGGATATTGATCATCACTTAGAGTATTGAAGCTCCGGAAGGGGTAGAAGCCTGACTGGTTAGAGACACTGCTATGCTCCTGAAACTTATCCTGGAGTTTGCCTAAAAACCATATTATTGTCAGCTTGTTTACTTTGTGTGGCTTTTCATACAAAAGAAAATATTACACAAATGGCTAGCTAGTTGCAGTTTCAGACTGAATTATGATTATGCTTCCATTTATTAAAATAATGTGACCAGTCTCCAAATTGAAAGATTTCTGATGACGATGGATTAAAATTTAAAAAGTAACCATGGACTACACAAGATAATTTTTTTGGCTTGATTTTTCAAGGCCTTG